GGTAGCTTCTGTTGTCTGGAAGAACAGTCTCTCCATACCTGTAGCTTCTGTTGTCTGGGAGAACAGTCTCTCCATACCTGCAGCTTCTGTTGTCTGGAAGAACAGTCTCTCCATACCTGCAGCTTCTGTTGTCTGCAATAAAACAGCTATTATAGGAAGTCCCTGCAGCACAGAGAGTCACGAGGGACACCAGTGGCTTCACAGTCTGTTCCACTCACATATACTGCTCTCTGTAGGTCACATAGGAGCTGCACACTTTTAGTGACTTATACATTAACTTTGTTCAAAATACAAACTCTTGTTTCTGTTTGACTCTCTTTTACTGTCTTTATACAGTATAAATAAAACATAACAGGCCATAGCGTATGCATCAAGTAACGAAAAACATTATTATCCAAGGTAAAAAGCAAACAAATAAAATAACAATTTTACTAAAATTCACATAAATAATAATCATAAGATGCAATAAATGATATTTTGTAATTATACATTTTAAGTCATTGAATGTCTTAAAGAATCCAATGGCCTTTTGTTATTTTTGACAGATTGAAAACACTGAGGGAGATCTACCGTGATGTAAAGTCAACAAAGTTGTATTGTTAGTATTTGCCTGTTAGTGTGTGTTTTTATTGGCCTCTGCCGTCACTCCAGGAAATAAATCTTTAATATGCTCCTTGTAGGTCGACATGAAAACTGACCCTCAGCCTATATCATATATTTCATTTTTGTTTGTTCAGGGACAAGAACATAATCTGATATTAGCTGCCCCTTTCTCAAAATAAATAAATAGATGGTCTGTCCTTCATATTTTCTAATTCACAGCCAATCATAACAGTATCGTAGGAAAATAAGAAACACAAAAACGTACAAAGAAATACGGAACTTGACAGTTAACGGAAAGAAACAGAACAAAAAAACAACACCAAAAAATCACATGTACCGGTACAAGGAAAAGTGCAACATCTGAGTCCTACTGGAGTAGAAGGGGGGAAAGCGGCGCATAATACTAATAATAATGGGACCTATATATAACGTTGTTCTGTATACTAATTATTAAAAATAGAAAATAACGAATTGCAATGAAATGCTATTAAGTAGGATCTATTTTGACGGACATGTTGTGACCCTGTCCATCTTAACTTAACCTCTGATCTGTTGTCAGTAAACTCAGATCCTCATTTAAAAGCAAACTGTCCGTCTGTCTCAGTCTTCCAGCTGAGGACGGTGTTACAGAGACCACTCTCAGTTTAACCTCCAGCAGTTAACCTCTGTTCTCTCTTCCTCTTCCTCCTCCTGCTCCTCCTCTTCCTCGCCTGGCTTCATTTGATCTTCTACTAACGGCTTCACCAGAAGGTAATCATCTTCACATCATCGTCACACTGCTGGTTTACCCTGTTCACATCTAACATTTCTAAAAGCTGCTTCATGGGATCCAGGAAGACCGAAAAGTTGAAAAATCTAAATCAACATTTTAATTTAGCTGATGTTTTTTTTCTATGTATATTAATTGTGTTTAAATGAATTGTCACTGCACAGGGTCAGATAAAGATGAGGCTACAGTCATTTCATTAGTATTTAACTTTTAGTAGTTATATTCCAATGTTGGCTGTATAGGATTGTCTCAGACTCGTGTGGTCCAAACATTTCCAATAACTCCAGAGCATTATAGTCGAAACGTCAACATTTACTGAAGATAAGATGGATGTAATCATCTCCAAAATTCACAACATATCTTATACAACCAAATACTTCTACTTGTTGCCAACATGACAGGGATGTTAGCCTTTGCAGACCATTTACATGCACACAAACCTATAGAACTTATAGAGGCGAAGTCCCTCCCTTTCCGGGGGAGCTCCATCGGAACTTATTTCGAGAAAAGTATGTATTGAAGTCAATGGAGAGAGAAAGATTATCTTTGGATCCCGTTTGAATTGTGCCACGAATTACACATATGATGTTTGTCAATTTAAAAGATAATTTTGCAAGTTAATTTTTTTTAAATGTCTCGTAAAACTGCGAAGTAACACTTTTTGTTGTGTGAAACCGCTCAATGAACTACATCTCCCATCTCGCACCACACACCAAGACGGCCGTCACGTTGGCACATTTCACTTCTTTCTTTCAGAATGAGGCGGAAAGTATTAAAAGAGGTGAAAATCACTCCAAGTCTGGGCATGTTGAGAGCTGTACACACAAGGGGAGTTAGTCGGTTCCGTAAGAGCCAGCATGCGGGACCGGGATTCTGGGATTTGTAGTCTTTCTAGTTGCGTATTTTTCATAGTCTTATATTTCAACAGTTTTACGACAAACTGTGACTTTTTTTACATGGAAATTATTTTTTAAGATTGACAAACATCATATGTGTAATTCGTGGTACAATTCAAACGGGATCGAAAGATAATCTTTCTCTCTCCATTGACTTCAATACATACTTTTTCCGAAATAAGGTCCCATGAGCTAAAGGGAGGGACTTAGCCTCTCTATACAGGGAGGGAACACCCCAGAAAGCAGAATAGAGCCGCATTAAGAAGAGTATATACACCTGGCTTTGACTATTTTCTACACACCTTCCTGTTTTTACTCATAAATCTCTTTTGTGCTGCAGGGAAAACCTTCCAGCTGTATTCTCATAACCTCATCGGGCTGTTTGAGCAGCTGAAGAAGCCCGGCCTCGCCGCTCAGTTCCAGACGCACCGCTTCCCCGACAAAATCCTGCCCAGGTGAGACCAAACCCTGAGCTTCACAGACTTATATCTGAACCTGTCTAACCACCACTTCTGGGACTGTAATCAAGTTGCCACTCTCATGCCGTGCAGAGCTTTTGTTCTCTACCATCCTTTCAAACTACTCTGGCAGACCTCCCTGTTTTCTGACGTCATGACATTTTAGGAAACTTTCGCCTCAAAGCCTCTCTTGTTTCTCTCCTCAGGAGGTTCGCCCTGACGACCAAGATCCCCGACACAAAGAGCTGCCATAAGTGCTGCATCGGTGAGTGCCCCCCCAACACACACACACACAC